ATTTTTTTATTTTACAATGACCTCTTTTCATAGGGTATTTTAAAGGAAACAGGATGTTATAGGGATGTTTACTAGGCTCACAGTTTTAATTTTAGAATCTGTATATTTAGCTACCATGTTTCCCCAAAAAGAAGACATCCTCCAAAAATAAGACCTAGCACAACTTTGGGAGAAAAAAATTAATATATGACACTGTCTTATTTTCAGGGAAACAGGGTATTACTTAATATCATGAAAATACCAGCTACTTTAAAAATATCTACTGTGCTTGAGATCCTCAAAATATGGGATGAGAATAATGGAAGCTGGGCAGAGTTGGATAAGGAGAAGTAGTGTGTTTAAGAATCATGATGTGATGTAGAACTTTGGTGTGTTCTGCGTGCCTAATTTGCCCTCATCACTCCTCTGGAAACATAAGTTCTGTTTTTTCATTAATTCTAGGCCATTTGTTCATTTTTGATGGATGATGGATGTTTGATTCACTGGAGATTCTTTACCCTGACCATATCCAATTTATTCAATTGGACCAGACTGGCGACATCTCTTTATGGGTTTTCTTAACATCTCAGAAATGAAGCTGAAGTTAAGACCAAGGTAAGACCAAGTTTCATGCATAAAAGGACTTTGAGTTGCTTATGTTGAGTATAGCACAAGAGGAAAGAAAATCCTGCAGGAAATATAGGAACATCCAAGAGTAAAACAATGAAAAAGGTTAGAAGAAGGGACGCAATTCATCTGTTGTGATAAATTAATATATAATATATCACCATATTTTTAATTATTCGTGCACTAACATTTAGTAGTTTGCCTTGGGAAAATACACCAGGGCTATTTCCTAGTGTCCTTTGTTCTTAGCACTGAAGCACTGGCACTAGGAGATTCAACACGTCACAACCTGTGTTCTGGTCAAGCCACAGTGAGCTATCTATCTCTCCTTCGGAGCACAAAGAGGGTCTTGGAAAGAGCAAGTTTGTATGAGACTTGAGAAAAAATAATCTTCAGAATTACCTCAGAAAAACACCAAGAAATGGCAAAAATTACCTAATGTGGGCTTGACACCCAGCATGCTCTTTTTACTTGTTCAAAACTAATGTTAGTAATTTGTTCTCTATGATTTGAAAGGCCTGCCAGTCTTGAGCCATTCTTTCCACTTATTAGAAAGCCCATTTCATGGCCAGATGTGATTGCAACCCAAACCACCACTGCAGCCCTTGGAATCAAGCACTCAACTTTAACTGAGAAAAAGTAGAGTGCTCGTTCCTGAGCTACACTCTCAGTCCCATGCTAGGATAAGTCTTCTTGGCATTCATAAGGAGAACATCCCATCCATCTACAGATGGATGGGATGTTCTCCTTATGAATGCTTTGCATGACCCTCATGTATGGGAACCATGCTGAGGTGCCCTTAGAGCCAAAGTTTCATTGTGAGGAACAGCAATATTTTGTTGCTGAGGAAACAAGGGTATTCAGGGCAACATAGGAGCTATGTTACATGTGGAAAATATTAATGACAAATGGTTTGTGAAACAAGGCCAGAATCACTTTTTTAAAAAATTATTTATCGCATGCTATTTTACCCCCTTTTGTTCTTTGGCCACCTTGACTGCAAACTCTTTGATGAAGAAAATCCAACCATGAGAGCAGTAGAACAGGATAGAAATTCCTGAGAGAAACCATTCATAAATTTAAACACACAGGCAGGCCCCATTTAGAAACTCTCAGGCAATTTTCATAAATGTTACAAATCTGAAGATATCTATTTTAAGGTCTTGGAAGAAACCAAGTATTTGAAAGAGCACATTGCTAGGTTTTTTTGACCCCCAACACAATTCTCTTCCTTCTTTTCCTGCATTTCCAGATAAATATTATAACAAAATAGGAAGGTACCCCTTAACAGACTGCTGTTTCCAGCCAGATTACATTAGAAATGGACACATATGCAGCTTCCATACTGTCCAAAAGAAATGCATTGGCCTCAGGTTGACTATTCCAGAAATTGAGTGATTTTCCTAGGGAATAAATAGAATATGGTGATTAAGAGCAGACTGACTGGGTTTGAATTCTGACTTTGTCCCTTACTCACTGTGTAGACTTGGACCCATTGCTTAAACTCTCTGTGCCTAATCTGTACCTGAACTCTCTTGCCTCAGAGAGTTTGGTATTATGTTAAATGAGAATTTAGAACTGTATCTATACATAGAAAATAATCAGTAAATAAGTGTTATCTTTTATTCTAGAAGTTCTCAAATAAATAATCCTCTCTTGCTGAAACCATTTTGGCTCAATGGGTAGAGCATCGGCCTGCAAACTGAAGGTTCCTGGTTTCAATTCCAGTCAAGGGCACATACCTTAGTTGCAGGCACAATCCCAGTAGGGGGTGTGCAGGAGACAGCTGATCGATGTTTCTCTCTCATTGATGTTTCTAACTCTATATCCCTCTCCCTTCCTCTCTGTAAAAAATCAATAAAATATATTTTTAAAAATAAGTTAAAAATCAATAAAAACTTTAAAAAATAATCCCCTATTGGCCCATTAGAAAATACAGAATTACTGGATTTTAGGAGCTTTTTTTTTTCTTGTACAAATTGCAATAGCAATTTCTTAACATTTTGTAATAAAAAAGTAATGGATGAAATGTAAAACATAACTATTGAGGATAAAATAGTTAATTAAGTCTGTAAGATTTAGAAGTACATTTGGGATGGGAAATGAAACTATTCCCTGAAACCTGACTTTTAATACAATATACTCTTACATGTATAAAATTTTTAAAAATAACGATCAATGTGACATGCATCTCTGGTTGATAGATCCAAAGAGAAGTGGAAATCAGTAATAACATCAAGAGACCACTACATTTGTGACCAGAAATATAGCTAGCAGGAAAAAATATAGCTCATTTCCACTTTACTTCCTATCAACAACTTTAAACATGCTCTAGAAATTGATATCTTTTTAAGTGACAATGAACTGTTTGTGTTTACCTAGCAGTGAAATCTGTGAATAACATCAAAGTGGTAATTTTATGTTATACTAGAGGCCCAGTGCACAAATTTTGTACAGGTGGGGTCTGCTTGGCCTGCCCCAATCGGGGCCAATCAGGCTGGCCCTGGGGGAGGGATCTTGGGTGGTTTGCCAGCCAGCCCCACCCTCTAGTCCAACTCCCAGTTGAACTCCCAGTCAAGGGGACAATTTGCATATTAGCCTTTTATAATATAGGATATCTTTTACTGAATTAAAAAAAAATTTAAGAGACACCCTTGGAAAAATTGATAAAGTCCTCAAATACTTTTGAAACAACACTTCTTGTATGACGTTGTTGTGAAAGTCAAACATGAAATGTTTTCATGTCAGAAGTTTACAAGTTCTCCCAAACACTTGACTATTTATTCTCTCAAAGAATTAATGCATGGTTGAAATGAAAAGCTAAAGTTTGTTGAAAAGAATTTACTTAAAAAGGAAAACCTAAGTAGTAATTGTAGGAGACACAACGAGACATGATCAAATGGGCACCTTTATATGGGTTGCCACCAACCATCTCTCAAAGCCACATGCCTGCTCCCAACCCATCACTCCCCCCTCCCCCTAACAGCTGATGACCTGGCTCTGCCTCTGCCTCAGGCCAGCCATGTGACCTCCAGACTTTGCTTCCCATTTTCAAAAATAAAATATTCCTTGTGGCTCAAAAATTCTGTAATTCTATTATGGTTGCAAATTCCAACCCTGACCCTGCTTTTAAAGCCTCACACAAACATGTGAAAATTATCATCCTAGGTAAACAAAGAATCCTATATAAGCATGAACTGTCAAAATATTTTTTTTTCTTGCTGCAGATTTTACCTGCAGCCAAAGCAATTTTATAAAAACCTTCTACTCAGTATTTCAAGGAGCTATTTCATTCCCCCAGAGAGAATTAATCATAGGCAAGAACTGGAGAAGACACTTCCCCTAGATAAAGTTTGAACACGCTCCTGCTGAGAAGCCCATTCTATTTTAATTTGCCAATTAAAAGTGGCCTGGGGAATCGCACACTGCCATTATCTCATTAAATCACTATACTTGTCACTCCCTTTCCTTTGAAAAAAGAACACTCAAGTAGTTCAACTACTCCCCACAACTTAAATTTAATAGTACTTTTAAAATATTGGCTTTATCTAGGGTTGGTTGGGGAAAGCACCTTCACTGTTATTACCACCATAAATTCTACGGATCTCCAGTCACTAACTCAATTCCATTTATTGGGTACTTACTATATCCACGAAATTTACTAAGCATTGGGAAGAATTAAAAAGGAACTAAAAGGCTTGCTTTCACCAAATCAATGGCCACTCTCATTGGAAAACAGAGCCTTATAAAGTCTCTTAAAGATCCTTCTTATAGCATATTTTGGTTCTATTTAGCTCTTATTCAACCCTCCCCTACCTATCTTGCCTGGTTTTCTGTGGAATGACATTACAAGCATGGTACTAATGATTGAGACTATGCCCTGTTTAAAATACACACACACACACACACACACACACACACACACACACACACACACACACGCACATACACACACACACAGACACAACCAACAACTTGATTTCTTTTGGTATAACAGCTATAAATTCTCTTCCCTTACAAACTATATATTGAGTTGGCATTACATGTGGGAAATAGTCATTTGAGTTGAGTTACTTATTACTACTTATCAGTCTCTAGTGAGCCATATAATAACTAAATGGCAGAAATGAAAAAAGAAACACTTCAAAGATTCTGATAATGGCTTATATTTACTAATGCTCCTTTGAATAATATAATAATAAATTGTAAAACTATGTCAATGACTTCCTACATGTACTTGAACAGGATTCTGTGTATATGCCTGCAAGTTATTTTGTATTTCCAAAGATACTTCCCCAAAGAGTCCATTGACTTCTGCCTAATAAAAACATGCATTACCGTGGCTCACTAGGAGAAAGACACTCTGCCTGTCTTTAACCCAGGAATAGGATTACCTTATTGCCTTGAAATCCTTTGGGGCCTGGGTCCCCTGGAGGTCCACTGATGCCCTGCTCCAAGATGAAAACCAAGAATTAGCTCTGTGTACAAAAGGCCCATCCGAAATGAATCATTCGTTCAGGTCCCTAGACACCCCAGAGTTAGAATTCAGACTATTACTCAGTTAAGTTGTAATTACATGGGGCTGAGAAATGGAATAAGGTGAAATTCTTCATGTCAAATAAGTATCCTCTAAAAACAAACACTTATTAATGAAAGGTTGGTTTTCTAGACCTGTGTTTCCAACCTTATTCCTGACCTGGACCTCTTCTTTGAAAGATTTCAAAGAAATAACTTTTAAAAATATATCTAAAACATATATAACTGAAAGTTGCAACTTCCAATGACCCTGTGATAGCTGGAGTGACTATCCTACCCTGACACAATTCCAGGCTAAAACAAAGGAGTTGATGGTTAAGTAGATATTGTCTAGGAAATCTTGGGTAAAAGTATAATTTTTCAATAGACTTTTTGAAATACTGAAATTAACTCTTCACATACATATCCTCCCCCCATTATAACTGTAGATGAGGCAAGTTCACAGATTAGAAAAAAAAAATCATCCATATTATTTTTTGAAATCTATAGGGCATGTCTAACCTAAATAAATGCCTTAAAGAATCACTGCATGTTATTGAACATCAACTACTTACAATGGTAAAACAATACAAATATTTAATTTAGAGAAAATGCATAGCTCCTCCAACTACATTATAGTAGCATTGCAAAAAACAACAACAACAACAACAACAACAACAACAAAAACAGTTACACTTTGTTTTTAACTACTATGATTTTATCTTCTTAGAAGCTTATTTTTAAACTTTTATCCCTTCAACTACTCACTAAATAGACTCCCCTGCTGGTACCTATCTTTAGAGAGCCTGAATTGGTAAATAAAACATTGACATAGTGGTTTCCAAAACTTGGTTGCACATTGAAATCGCTTGGGGATCTTTAAAAATATTGATGCCTACCTCCAATTCCAGCCATTCTGATTGAATTGGTAGAGGGTGCGAGTGGGCAAAGGGATTTTAAAAAGCTCCCTAGGTGATTCTACTCCAGACTTAGATTTGGTATTAGCCTCCTTACCTGGAGTCCTCTGGGTCCTTTTGATCCGTATGGCCCGGGGGATCCCTGTGAAATAAAATTGATGATAAGCCACTCTAAATCATCTTCAAAGGGCAATGATTTTAGGTGGAAGAGAAGGAATGTGTTCTCTGTAAGGGCCAGTCTTCCCTGGTTATCCAAACAGTAAAGCTAACCTATTCATTAATAAGGAAATGATCCTAATTAACAAGTCAAACAAGGTTACATTGTCCTTTAGCAAACAAACTCCATGAAGACATAATTTTAGATGTAACTTCTTGGCCTATATATTGACATTTTTATCAAAGTAAATGATTTCTTAAGATTCTTTAGAAAGCAGGAAGCTTGGTAGAATATTGTTTTTTTCAACAAGGTAATGTCAGTTAAATTCATTTAGTGAGTTTCTCCAATGTCTATATCACTCTTTTGCTCATCTTCAAGACATGAAACTTGGCAAGACACTGTTTATACTCAACAGTCTTCTAACAGAAAATATTTCAGTATGTTCCATAGCTAGGAAACCCCTTAAAGGTTTATTTTTATTAGAGCAAAATATAGTCTCTTCTTTCTCAGATTTCCACTTTTTTTCTGCTTTCTTGTTTATGTGTGTCTTCACACTGCTATTAACATATTTTCATCCAATTTTATTCCCAGTAGATTTTTCTTCAAATAATTTGACCAGAGTATATATACAATTTTATTTATTTGGCCTTCTGTATCAAAAATATTTATTGTATCATTAATAATTCAGTAAAGCCGACAACGGTTTGGCTCAGTGGTAGAGCATCGGTCTGCAGACTGAAAGGTCCCAGGTTTGATTTCGGTCAAGGGCATGTACTTGGTTGCGGGCACATCCCCGGTAGGGGGTGTGCAAGAGGCAGCTGGTCGATGTTTCTCTCTCATCAACGTTTCTAGCTCTCTATTTCTCTCCCTTCTTCTCTGTAAAAAATCAATAAAATATATTTTAAAAAATAACTCAGTAAAGTGAATAATATTCAAGAATATAAATCAGCCCTAGCCAGTTTGGCTCAGTGAATAAAGCATCAGCCTGCAGACTGGAGAATCCTGGGTTCAATTTCAGTCAAGGGCACATCCCAAGTTTCTGGCTCTATCCCCCCAGGAGAGGGCATGCAGGAGGCAGCTGGTCAGTGATTCTCTCTCATCATTGATGTTTCTATCTCTCTCACTCTACCTTCCTCTCTGAAATCAATAAAAAATATATATATATTTTTAAAAAGAATATAAATCAATCATGATTTACTTAGTAATTTCTCTACTTTGGACATTTAAATTCATTTTGATGATTACTATTTAAATAATGCTATAATAAACATCTTTGTATATACATATTGTCCAACTTCTGACTCATTCCTAAGGATAATTTCCTAGAAAGGATGCCTGATGTAAAGACAGACAATAAGCACATTGAAAATTCTCTCTTTCTCTCTCTTGCCTCTCACACTTTTTATGTGATAAAAACATAAAACTTTTCTCCATAAAGTTTGTTCAGGTTTCCATTCTCACTACCTGAGTAAAGAAAGCATATCTTCATCTTATAGAATCCCCATCAACTCTGAATATATATTACTTTAGTGTTTGCTAATTTGATCAGTGAAATAATATTTTAAGTTTATGTATCTGATTGCAATGCATTGGATAATTTTTCATTTAAAAATATATATATTTTACTGATTTTTTACAGAGAGGAATGGAGAGGGAGAGGGATAGAGAGTTAGAAACATCAATGAGAGAGAAACATCGATTCAGCTGCCTCCGTCACACTCCCCACTGGGGATATGCCCACAACCAAGGTACATGCCCTTCACCAGAATTGAGCCTGGGACCCTTCAGTCTGAAGGTCGAAGTTCTATCCACTGAGCCAAACCAGTCAGCGCGGATAATATTTCATTTATTAGCCATTTTAATTTTCTCTTTTTGGTTTTCTGATTCTTTGTATATTTTACTTATGAATTATGTGAATTCTTCATATCAGGGACACTATATTCCATTGACATCCAGACATGGATTTTTCAAATTCTCACATTTCTGACATTGGGATACATTTTACAATCAATTGCGTCTTTATAATTGGAAGTATTTTTTTTTTCTTTCTTTTTGGCACAAATACATTAGGGCATTTAACAATCTTTGGCATCTTAGTAAATGAAATATGATATTAACTCTTTACCAATTATTTTTATTTCAAATAGTTTTCCCAGTTATTATTTAACTTTCATTTTTGTTTTCTTCTACATGTGTCCTTTATTCTGCATTTCTGAGTATAGGCACATCTCCCATTTTTAGTTATCATCCAGGAAGAATCCACTCATTACTATACTTTCCATTTTGCCCAGAAATAATTACCAAGCCTACATTTTTCAGATCCAACTCTCCAGCAATTTCAAAAGCTTTCAGGAAGTCTCAAGCTATTTAAAGTGTTTTGTTACATGTGCCACTGCCATTATCTTATCCTTTTCTTTTCACCTTCTGCCTCATTTTCTCCCTTGACTTTCTGCCATAATTAATATATATATATATTGAGTTTGGTATCTTAACGGCATGTTCTTAATAGTTCTTAACTGCAATGAAAACTATTTTACTGTGTGCTTTTCTGACCCTTTATTATTATTACATTAGAGGCATGAAATTCATACAATCGAGAGTTGGAGGGAGTCCCTCAGCCCAGCCTGCACTCTCTCACAGTCCAGGAGCCCTCAGGGATGTCTGACCGCTTAGGCCTGGACATCCTTAACACTGCTGTGGAGGCAGGAGAGGCTCCCACCACCGCTGTGCTTGCCAACCATCAGCCTGGCTTCTGACTGAGTGGCACTTCCCCTGTGGGACAACTCCTGTATTGAGCGTCTGCCCCCTAGTGGTCAGTGTGCATCATAGCGACTGGTTGTTCCACCATTCTGTCAATTTGCATATCAGCCTTTTAGTATATAGATTTCAAATGCACTCTCTATGAATTTCTGGCCGATTAAAGAACTCCTTAACATATTTAATATTGTCTCCAGCTTAAATGCTTTATTCATATTTATCTTTTAATGAAAAGTAAATACCTATTCAACTGTCCATGGTTTGCTGTATTTTCAAAATTTCAAACTCCTATCTTTGTCTGCTTCATTTTTTATAACTATTTTATTAACTTATTTCATAGTGTTCTTAACTCTGCTTTGGAAAGTGCCTGTTCTCAGTGTTACATCTGGAAAACAGTTCTACTTTCCCCAATTGGAGCTTGAATTGACTATTTGCTGGTTAAATTACTCTTTCCACTATAACATTCAGTAGACTTGGCCTCAAAGGTTAGGGTACCACAAAGCAAAGACTTAATGGTCTATTAAAAAAAAAGGCATTTTGGGGGCACTATTCATTAAAGTTTATATGGCTTTATTTTCTGCTTCTTGTTTGACTGATCTGAAAACTGAGCCAATGACTTTCCAACACCAGAAGTGAGATTGACATAAAGTATTCCAGAAATTTACTTTTGTAATTTTTTAATCATTCAATTGTGTGTGTTTTAAATAAGTGTAGTCAGTATACAATCTTAGATTAGTTATAATAGTTTCAGGTGTACAATGTAGTGAGTCAACATTTTTATACCTTATAATGTGATCACTCCATTAATTCTAGTAATCATCTGTCACCACACAAACTCATCACAATACTATTGACTATTTTCCTCTTTCCCTTTATACCCATTCCCCACTCTCTCCCTTCTGGTAACCATCCCTTTGGTCTCTGTTCAAACAAAACAAAACAAACAAATAAACAAAAACAGATTCATAGAAACAGGAATTCCTTCCTAAGGAAACTTAACCCCAAAGGATCACAGCTGTTAGCATTTTATAAACATGTTCCTTACTTTGTCACCTTTTATTCCTGGTTTACCACATTCTCCAGGTACACCCTAAAAAAGAAATAAAATAAAATAAGAAGACATTTGTAGTCATTCAGTGTTATGATTTTCTCTTAAGGAATCCCAGCAGAATCTTATGACATACTAGTAAGCACTCTGATAGATTATACCCAGTTTTGTCCTCAATCCTGTAGGTTGTTTGGGCATTGAACTCTGAAAAATTTTATCCATGAGTCATCTTTAACTTGACAAAATCAAATCAGTGGTACCACCTAATGGGGCTGAACATTTTTGAGAGATGAACGAATTAAAAGGAAAGAAGCTGAGATTTACTGAGCATCTAACATATATTATATGCCCTTTGCATGTGTGATTTAACTGAATCCACAGTACAGACCAATAAGATCAGTTTTAGAATTCTGATTTTATAGAAGAGGAAACTTAAGCTCAGTGAGTTAACTTCTCTCCATCATAGAGCTAGTAAGAAGAATCAGGTCGGAACCTAGGTCTACCCAGACTCAGGGCCATTTGTTTCCACAACACCATGCTCCGGCCCCAGTACCAACTTTGATGGAGTAATAGCTTTTGCCTAGAGAGTGTGAGGAAAGGGTCCTGAGACCATGTCATGAGTTGGTAGGGAAGAAGTCATGATGGATGAACAAGGTCTGCTGTGAGAGCAAGAGAGCAGGACAAGGTGGCCAGCACGCTATGTATTTTCCGTCATCATTCTCCACTGTCCTGCATCTCCCAGAATATTAATGAAAAAAACTAACATATAAATTATGTTTCACAGTTTATTACTAATGATATTTTAGAAATTAGTTTTATTTATTCTGACACCAGTGGTCTGAGGTAGATATTATTAGCCCAATTTTACTGTATGAAATTTTGTGATTCAAAAAGGTTAAGTAACTTGCTCAGGACTTCTAATAATTGAACCAAAATGCAAAAGAGTCTATTGGAATAACAACTAACATTAGAATTTCAAAGAGCTTTCATATATATATTTTCTGAGCCTCAGACCAATTCATATTTTTGAGATAAGGCAACTCAGCTGGAGATGCACTTAAAGGCACATGCTAGCCCATGACTACTAGTTTCTGCTTCTGCGGCTGCTTTGTCTCCTGTGTGCTGCTCTGAGTGTGCTATTCAAAGTGCCCCTGCACACTGACATAAGGAACCTGCACTAACATGGACTTCAGTGCCCTGCTTCCTTCATCAGGGAGGTCTTGCTATGAAAAATACATGTCAGCTGAACTAAACAGTGTACTTAGTGATCTAGTGGATTCATATTCTGGTGCAAACTTCATCTTTTCACAAAATAGCCACAAACAGTTCACAGATTGACAACAGGCCTGCTGCCCACCACTCTTTGAACAGCAGCTGCTCCAAGAAGGGAAATCATAACTGTAACCACCAACTATGGATGCACAGTGTGTGCCAAAGCCTTTATATTGGTGTTAATCCCCACACCAGCCTCGCTAGGAAGATGTGTCTCCATTCACAGATAAGGAAAATGAAGCTCGGAGAGATTAAGGAACTTCTCCATGACCACAAGCTGAGTCTGTTAGACTCTCAAGTCCATGTTCTCCGTTAGCCACCCAACGCTGAACAAAGCTCACTGCCATGGTCTGTAGGTCCCTTCCCACTGACTCCACACTTCTGCCTAGGGTGCTGCCTGGGGTAGTGCTGGCATTGGAGTAGGAAAGAGGGAGGCACGATTCTTAGGTCCAGCTATGCTTCTGCTCAAAAGCAATCTATTCTCTCTCTACATCGTGTGAGTCAAATGGACCCAGGAAAAACTGAGCCCTCTCTTAGGACAAGTCGAACATTTATTTCTGAATGCACATGGAAAATCACTCTTGAAGAATCTATTAGAAAGCAATTAATTTAATAATGTTGGATGGGAATAAAATGAGTCAACCACCAAAATATCAAACAGAAAAGGACTATACATGCACTCCAAAGTATTTTGGCCAGAATTCACATTCCACTAGTCCAGACAGATTTGTTCACTATAGGATCCTGGGGAACAGCCTTTGTTGGGGAAAGAGGGGTGCAGTTTTCCATCAATTAAAATATTGTATTCATGTTATTTGCCTCTGCAAAAGGCGTTTTCTTTTTTGGTGGACTCATTAGTCCCTGTGGAATGGCCACAATGGCACTGTTCCAGAGAAAAAGTGCTTCAGAAAGCTGTGAACAGATTAGCTCTGTTCCCAGCCTCTGGCTTCTGAGGCCGCTGCTCCTGCTGAAATTCTGGTTTGAATGTCGATGGGTCAGGGTCACTGTGCTCTGACAGTGAGTATTTTTCAAATGCGAACTCCTCCGGTGAATCTATAATTCCCCAGAAGTTTAAATGAATATTTTTTTACATTATTTTCCTGGTATTCATAGTTAGCTCATTGTGTAAATCATAGTTTTTCACAACTACATATGGACAGTTTTGTAATCATGGAACTTTTTAAACTTTCCCACATTATCATTTCTTTTCTGACTCTTCCTAACAGCACCTTACATCTGCAGACCAGCAAAAAGTGAACACTTTATTATCACATCCATTATCTCACTTGAGTCTCTGAAATTTAGGGAGGCCTGGATTAGTCCAGTTCTACGTGGATGATGAAATAGACACTCCAGGAGGCTGAGTTCCCAGGTTCTTATGACTAAGGGAAGAATCACGACATTTCTTACACTCTTCGTCTTTTAGGCCTAACGTTTCCAGTCCTTGGGGATGGATATATTTATTTCCCTGTATGAAGGTTTTTATTCTTTTTTCTTTTTCTTTTTTTTTTTTTCTTGCAGAGCTTTGGAATGAGGACAAGCAGAGGCCCACATACCATGTATCTAAATAGCTGGAAGTTATAAATCAAACTAAAAAACTAGTCATGTTCTACCTTCCTTTCTTGACAAAGGGGCCTTTAGGAGACATTCTAAATCATAGACTTTTGGGATTCCTCAAGAGGTCCATGCAGGAGATCAGCCCCCATTTCACTTCCCACGCCCAGTTCCTTCCACAGCAAAAGATGCGGTAAGTGTGTGTACATGAAGGTGCCCACACAGCACAAAGCTGCCTCCAAGGCTCCCTCCTATTCTAGCAAACAGCTCCGACCACTTTGCTAGGACTTTTGGGGTCTTGGTTACCAAAGCATGACCTAGGCCAAGGGGGCAAAGGCCTCTTGCCCTGCAAATCCTGGCTCTGAGGGTTAGGGGTGGGGGCACTCTGAAGTGTAGGCCACTTGCCCAGATCTGAGGGTTGTACCACCTGAAGGATGGAATAGATGGTAAGGATGTGCTCAGATTTCAGACAGAAGATCTGATAATATTTATTAATGAAGCACTGAACACTCTCAAAGGTTCCTTAGCCCCAGTCCAACTTGTTTATTTCTTTTGAATCAGTCTGTTAATTTCTTTTGAGCTAGTCTGATCAGTTCCCTAACCTGCAATTTGCAAATAATCTACCAACCGGTTTCTTTTGTGTGTTTGTCACATCTACTCCCTGCTACAATCTTTACCCAGATGCCTAATCAAAGTCAGTGGTTCTTCACTGCTTAACAAACATAAATCATCTTTTCCCCTATAAGAGGGCTGAGTGCCTAGGTTTTATAGGAAGTTAAGCAGCAAAGGAACAAACAAATTGCAGTATTTCTGCCTTGGTTTGTACATGGAAATTTTTCATCTGGATACCTGTGCTGCATGGTTGTTAAATTGGGGTTCTCTGTTCATGTCTGCAGAGTTCTGAGAGACTACATACTAATCTCAGGGCACCTCCCACCCCTTACAATACACACCCAGATCTTAAGTTATATTATAACTAGAGGCTTGGTGCACAAAATTCATGCACTCAGGGGCAGGGCAGGGGGGGGGGGGAGATCCCTCAACCCAGCCTGCACACTTTCAAAGTCTAGGAACCCTTGGGGGATGTCTGACTAAGTGGGCCTAAGCCAGTGGTCAGATATCCTTAGCACTGCCACGGAGGCAGGAGAGATTCCCGCCATCATCCCTGCACTCACCAGCCATAAGCCCAGCTTCTGGTCAAGCCATCAGAGGGTAGCTCCTGCGTTGAGCATCTGCCCCCTAGTGGCCAGTGCATATCATAGCGACTGGTCATTCCACTGCTCAGTCAATTTGCACATTAGCCTTTTATTATATAGGATTTTGTGTCAACATAGTTAACACTATATTTGCGTGCTAGGAAATCCCGACTTACAAAAAATAAAGGACAGGAAGTTTTATTCAGAACATCAATGCAGTGATGTTTCTGTTTTGTTTCTGGAATCTGGTCTGTTTGCTGTTACAAACTTACCTTCTCACCCTTGTACCCAGGAATTCCCTAATTTAAAAAGAAAAGAAAAGAAAATGTGAAATATGATATTAGAAGGCATAGTTAGAGGAAGTACTTTATGTTTTTCATTTATAACATACAACAAAACGCCTCTGTAAAGTCTTGGAAAATAAGACCATAGAGACCTAGGCTACTTCACTTTGCACTTAGGGACTGTGCATTTACTAGTGAGAAGAAGAGAAACTAGTTTTCCATGTATTACATTTACTCTCAGCTCTAGGTCTTTTTTCACACCCAAATTCTTACCCTTTGGCTTGAAGCTGAAGAAGAAACTAGACACTGAAACTCATTTTACAAGTGAAGACCAGCAATGGTCCTTTCAAATTGCTACATTGACTTTTAAACAAACTATGAGCAGTCACAACTGAGTATGTTTCACAGGGACTGGTAGAGAAATTGGCTTTGAGAATGAGCTGGAATAATGACTGTCCTTTAAAATGTGCATAAATGTTTATATTCTTTATGGTCCTTCTTTCACATTCAGTCTAGAACAGTGTTTCCCAAACTTTTGACATATATGTACCCCTTCTATAATTTTCGTAATGCTAAATACCCCTCATACTCATGAGAGCGTAGAATTAGGCGCAGCTAAGCACGGTGCAGTGCATATCCCCACCAAACTCCGGTGCAACGTGTCCCCCCACCAAACTCTTCCCGTACCCCTGGAGGTACGCGTACCACACTTTGGGAAACACTGGTCTAGAATATAAACATCTAGGAAATGAATGGTTCCTTTTTCTATCGTAATGAGACAGTGAGCTTTGACTTACTAAATTTTATCTCATGCTAAATAAGGGGCCAGAGCTTTGCTCCTTTGCTCCTCTTGGGAACCCTGCACAGCCCTCTCCTCTTTAAGTAATATAATAGCGAATAACAAAGGAACTGGAAGTTACCAACTTGACCCAACAGCAAGTTTGTTTGTTTTTTTTTCACCGAAACCGGTTTGGCTCAGTGGATAGAGTTTCGGCCTGCAGACTGAAGGGTCCCGGGTTTGATTCCAGTCAAGGGTATGTACCTTGGTTGAGGGCACATCCCCAGTAGGGGGTGTGCAGGAGGCAGCTGATTGGTGTTTCTCTATCATCGATGTTTCTAACTCTCTATCTCTATCCCTCTCTCTTCCTCTCTGTAAAAAAATCAATAAAATATATTTTTTTAAAAAACAGCCAAAATTGGTTTGGCTCAGTGGATAGAGCGTCGGTCTGTGGACTGAAAGGTCCCGGGTTCGATTCCAGTCAAGGGCATGTACCTTGGTTGCAGGCACATCCCCAGTAGGAGGTGTGCAAGAGGCAGCTGATTGATGATTCTCTCTCATCGATGTTTCTAACTCTCTATCCCTCTCTCTTCCTCTCTGTAAAAAAATCAATAAAAATATATTTTTTTAAAAAAATAAAAAATATAAAAAATAAATTTAAAAAAAACAGCAAGTCTTTTTCATATAGGATTTCATGTCTTCTTCATACAACTGTAGTTTTCAAGTATGAAAATGGAATTGTAAGACAGATTTTAAGTGGGCTGTAGAAACTAGTGGAATGGAAAACTATTCTTGTAGTTACATGTAAGTCCGCCTACAAAATTTTGTTCTATGTGTGACTTTGTTACAAAAGTAAAAAGGAAAACTTTAAGAAGGAAAAAACACTTCTCGGTCAAATGAGTAGTCACTGAGAGATAGAAGATAAAAGTAGAACTAATTCAAAATATTATTGCTGTAATTTAATTCATTTTTGGAAATATTAATTCACATAAATGGCTTAATTTTTTAGGATGATGCTTAAAATGAAGGCTCACATATAAACAGTTAAATTAAGGTCTTTGTTAAAACAATTAGTGTTAGCAGCGGTAAAAAAGCTAGACTTCTAATCTGAGGGAACTTGGGGTGCTTTCCACCCCTTACAACCATATTTCAAATTCTGTCATTACTTTATGTTAAAAGAATTAAGACTATATTTTAGAAGGAGCCAATACAGGTTTATGTTTTGTTTGTTTTTTTTCCTTTCTGAAATCTCTGGTTCATTTACAATTTTGTTGCTAAAAGTTTTCTTCCTTCCTTTCTTTCATGGCATTTTTTTTTTTTAATTTCAGAGATGAAAGGAGAGGGAAAGATAGATAGAAATATGATGATGAGAGAGAATCATTGATCAGCAGATCTCCTACTGGGGATCAAGCCCACAACCTGGACAAGTGAATTGAACCCTAATCTCCTGGTTCATAGGTAGATGCTCAACCACTGAGCCACGCTGTCCAGGCTTTTCATGGCATCTTAATTATTAGTTTTAAAATATCCAAACTGCACTTGTGGGTCTCTGCCAAAATTGTTTCTGACTTTTCTATTTCTATTAATGGTATCATCGGATTTCAGATCATCTTTTCTTTCTACTCCCCCCTTACATTCCTTTAATCCAACCAGTTAAAATTATCCAACAGCTTCCACTGAACTATTTTAAACCCACTCTCCTGACCCAGGCCAACAAGGCACTGTGTGATCTAGCCTCTGCCTGCCTCTGAGCTTCACCTCCCAACTCCTTCATCAAGTCTGGCTTCTTTCCATTTCCTGAGTCGGCCAACATTGTTCCACCTCAGAGCCTTTGTCTCTGTTGCTCTTTCTGCCTAGAACATCCTTATGACCTTGTTTCATATTTCCATAGCCCTTCTCACTGACTGAAAATCTTTTTCCTTTGTTTGCCTATGTATTGCCTCCCCCTGCTAGAACACTTTATGCAGCAGGGACTATCTGTCTTGCGCACTCCTCTATCTCCAGCACCTAAAAGAGGGCCCAACAAATAGAAGGTGCTCAATAAATATTTGTTGAATATATGAGTTAGATTTAATCACCACATCCCTATCATTTCTTTCCTTTCATGGTCCTCACAAGGTCCTCTTCCTTTCTACTTTGTCATCACTGGAGCCCAGTTCTGTACAATAGAATGTGAGCTCCAAATGGGAGCCTCATATGTCATTTTAAATTTAGTGATAGTCACATAAAAAAAAATAAACAGGTGATATGAATTTTTAATAATATATTTTATTTATCTCAAAACGTACAAAACGCCCTCATTTCAGCATAAAGAATATCAATGAGATAATTTATATCTATTTTGAGGATACCAAGTTATCCAAACTTGGTGTGTATTTTATTTCTAAAGCACACCACAATTCGGGCTGGCCACGTTTCATCTGCTCAGTAAGCACAGGTGGCTAGTAGCTTTCATATCCTCCAGAGCAGCTCTAGCCAGTTCCCTGTTATTTCTCATACTAGAGCTCTGGAGCATAAAATTTAAACATGGGGACGGTGTCCCTCAGCTCAGCCTGCACCCTCTCCAATCTGGGATTCCTCTCACAATCGGGGACTGCTGGCTCCTAACCACTCACCTGCCTGCCTGCCTGATTGTCCCTAACCACTCTGCCTACCAGCCTGATAGCCCCCTAACCAGTCCCCTGCCAGCCTAACTGCTCCCCTGCCAGCATGATTGTCCCCAACTGCCTTCCCCTCCTGGCCCAATTGCCCCCAACTGTCTGCCCCCACAGGGCTGAGGGGACTGTAGGACTCCAGATGGATCAGGCTGGATGCTGTGGGGACTGGAGGACTCTGATTGGATGAGGCAGGGCTGAGGGGACTGGATGCTGCTATCTTGTGGCTGTGGGCACTGCCATTTGTGAGGGTGTGATGGTCAATTAGCATATTCCCTCTTTATTAGATAGGATAGGCTGTAGCAACAAACCTAAGTGCTTCTTCCTTCTGCTTATTCCCACTTAAGATTCTCTTTTAGAGCCATGCCAGACTAATCTTCCAAATACACAGTCTTGGGTCATATGTCTCATCTAAAATCTCAGGGGAAGTGCCCATCACCTAGCAAAGCCAACTTACAACTGGCATAGAGCACCCACTCTTCAGGCACCCTATCTCAGCATTTCCCAACACACTGCCTTCCCTCTGGCTGCTGCTCATGGCCCTCTCCATCCGGAATGCCTGTCCCCTTCCACCTTCCTGTTCTGTCTTTTTCTGTCACAATACTAGACCCTTTGAGGGTCATCCATAAAATCTGCCCTGACATCTCCAATTTCTGAATTCCCATAATACTTTGTGCATGCAATTTTCACAATATATAGACACTCTTCTTCATGTAGTAGCTATTTTAAATCTTCTCTCTCCTATGAGATACTAAACATTTCAAAAATATAAGTGGTTTGTCTTAATTTTATTTTCACTTAATAAGTTTGCTTTATATAAGAATGATAATTAAGAAATGTTTCTTGAATAAATGAAAAACAGAAATTTCTGAGTGGCTTTCCATTGAAATTTTCAAACTTTCTATCAGGTTCTTTCATAAATTGAATAAAAAACACCACCAAGACAACAGTTTTTAAAACCTCTGGGCTTTCGTTCAAGGAGACACTGAGAGGAGAGAATTATCATAGCCTCTTTTGTTCACTGTATACACTGACTGCAATTCTAACCCAAAGGCTAATGCAAATATTTGCTGTAATTATTTCTCATTGTAGTTCCAGAATTTTAATTTTCTCTTTATTGAAAAAAAAATACAAGAAGTAAAGCAAAATATTTTTCTTATTTGAGCCTTTCACAGGTGTCCAATTTAGTACCAGGGAATATCACGTGGTTGAACACAGCTCTCGTCATCTGTCTGATTGCTTGTGTGAGAGAGACATCATTAGCACACTTAGATATAAATAAGTTTTGCACTTGCACTCCAGTGGTCAGAATGGTCAATTACAGAATCTTAGCACCCTGGGATTACTTCCTTAGGAAGGCAGCCAGTTGTGTACATACCCCTGGGCCTCTTTCTCCAGGTTCCCCTTTTTGAGCATCACCCTGTGACAAACAAAAAACTCAGTCAGAATTCCACAGCCATGCAAAGGGACTGAGTTTGCTCAATAAAATGCATTCTTCAGAATTCCGAGATTAACAAGACAAGCCAATGGCCAGGGGGGAATTCTTTGGCCTTTCCCATTGACATTTTCACCATGCAATTTATGGGAGAAAATAACAGCTCAGATAGCTTTAGCCCTTTGAAGTGAAGTCAGATGTAGAGGGTGCAGAATCCAGGTACATTTTCACAGCTAAGGCCAAGTCTTACATCCTAGAGTAACAATATAGCCATTATTCTCAAATATAGCATTGTACCCACTAGGGCCAGCCCCTCTGGCTTTTCTCCAAGGGGCTTTGGAATGTTTTCCAAAATGTCCTAAAGAGTGATTGCTTGATTTCAGCAAGACTTAGGAAAATATATATTGTGGCACAAAATTGCAAGCCAAATAAATGAAATGTGAACATAGACTTATAACAGGAATTTAACAAAAACAAAACACAAAGAAGACATAATGACAATCTGAACCCAATACTAGTAAGGTGTGTGTAGGGGTGTGTATGTGTGTGTGTGTGTGTGTGTGTGTGTGTGTGTGTGTATGTGTTACAAAGATTCTTTACATTCCCTTTCTTTGATAAGCATGCAATTGACAAAAATACTTTCATGCATCTAACTTATTATATTTTTCATTATCTCCCTAAGTATAATACTCTCAGAAATAAATTATTGGGTTAAATATTTTAATATTCAATGCCACTTATGTAGTGCCTAATTGCTTTCCACAAGGTGCCACATTACCTTTGTAATAAGAACAAACCAGTTTCACCATCATATTGCTATCACTAGTTATTATTATTTTAATATTTCTGGGTTAACCTTTATAAAAATAATTTTTTTTAAAATTTGAAACACAGACTAACCCAAATCATGTGAACTAGAAAATTGCTTCTTCCCTGCCTCAAAATATAACCCAACAACACTGAACACCAAAGTGTCTACAGTGTTATTATTTGTATTAAAGGGTACCTCAGTACCTCTATTTTGTTTCATTCACTATATAGTAAAATCAAATGTTTTTCTATTTCCTTATTTACTGATTTTATTTCCTCTCTTGGAAATTATTTGTGTCCTTTGACCATTTAATTATTAGAAGCTTGATATTTTCTTATTCATTTTATTGTCTTTATATACTACGGAAATTAACCCAATGTTCATTGTATTTTGTGAAAACATTTCCCTATATGTTTTTCTCTTTATTTTAATTATTATGTTCATTATACATAATTTAGCCTTAAATTTTTCACATAGTTATATCTACTAATCTCTGTCTTGTGATGCCTTCAGTCACTCTAAAAGTTGGAACACCATCATCCCAACAATGACCAGAACAGATCATTAAAAATAATTAATCTAGAGTTTTTTGATGGATACACAAAGAAAAAAAATTAGAGAAAATGCGAGAAGAGTTAAAGACAATCTGGTGTTTTTTCCATTATTATTTTATGTCAGTTATCTATAAAGTGGGTCCATAAAAACATAAGTATCTATGTCAATGTGACATGGAACATGTCTTAGTAATTGAAGAACATTGTACTCATTAATATGGGACATCACTATTTAATTACAGGCTTCTATGTATTGGGTTCCAAGGTTTCTTAAACGTTTTGACTAAAATGGCCATTTGTTACTCAGAATTTGTAAATGCAAGCTAACAAAAACCAGATAGCTAATGTAGCAGGTGAACATTTTGTATTTTTTCACAGAAATCATCAGATTTTTGGCACTGACATACACTGCAATGCTCTTAGTTTTTCTTAGTAATTTTTGTTCTAGAAATAAAGTTAGAAGAAGACACCCTGGTTTAAAGGGAAGCTATTCACTTATTTACCGGGTTTCCTTTTGGTCCTCGTTCACCTTTGATACCCGGGTTTCCATGGGTACCCTAAAGGCAAACAGAAAAAAAGATCATATTGAACAGCTATTCTATTAGTTTCTAATACCTTACAATAATTTCTGATCAGCTTCATCCCATGAAATGAAGGAAGATCATAAAAAAAAAAAAAATACTTAACTTACCAAGAAGAGTCAACTCTTTCTCTCCTTTCATACATATCAGGAAAACTGCATTGTCTTGAATAGGCAGATTTGGTAGCTTATCCAAAAGAGGATAATGTTTCTCTCTCTCTCTCTCTCTCTCTCTCTCTCTCTCTCTCTCTCTCTCTCTCTCTCTCTCTCTCTCTCCTTAATACCCAAGGCACAATCTCCAAAGATGGAAAAAAGTTCTCCAAATCTTATTCCAGAAAGGTGCTTCATCTTCTTATTCATCTTCTGAGAGGTTTTGGGGGCACCCAATAAATGTTACATGACACTGTTCTTTATCCATATTACAACATGGAACCATCTCTTTTAACAATATTGATTGACTAAAGTTGTCAGGTTAGCTCAGTTATGGCAAGTTTCGCTAGTGTTTATTCTAAATCATAATTCAATATCACAAGTAAACCTTCCACTGGTAATCCCTTGGTGTAATAAGTATAAAACAAGACTTTACAGCAAGGGAAATTTAAGCCTTTGCTTTGGCTAAAGTTGGCATCTACTGGCTGCCACATTAGCATGTAATGTATCAAACTTTGTATTTTAAAATTAAAAAAGACAAACATCCCCCACTTTCTAATGACTTGATTGGGAAGAAGGTTGGAAAACGTATAAGCTTAGAACACAAGTCTCAAAGTAACATGTGTCATAGGCTAAGAAGTTCACAGCACGCATTTCCCTTCCTGTCCCCAAACTCGTGTTAGTTCAAACATTTTTATCCATGCACTTTTGTGAAATATCTGTACTGTGCTTCTGAACATGAAGGTTTGGGGTCACCTAAATAAAGGAACCACTGAAAAAGGAAACATAGATGCTTTCGGATGATCTGCTATTAGAGAAATGTTTGGCATCTCCAGTCATCATAGTGCTCTTCCATATCCCAGAATTCACTCCAATCCCCAAGGCGTCCTGACCCGGGCTTCCTGCGCTCAAGGCCATGTGGCGTTGCTCTTAGATGAGTGTAAAGACAAAGAGGCCAGTGTCGCTTGTTTCCAGGTGGAACAAAGCTTTGCCGAAAGCATTTAGTATTTGAAAGGTCTTTTTATATTTTCACTTCAGTATTGAGAAATTCTGGCCCCAATTGCCACATAAGAAGTGATACTGGAATAACCTTTGGGGGAACACTTTAATCATGTTAAACCTTAGTTCAGGTCAGTAAAATGCCAGGTTTATCCCTAAGGGCAGAAGGCATTCCTTTAGGAACAAAAGAAAGAAAGAAAAAAAAATTTCTTTTTTGCTGCTCTTGGCACGCAACTGCTTTTCAGCAGCACAGAAGAGTTCTGGTGTTTTCGAGCGTGAGAGTGATCATTGCCAGTTCTTCCTGACTTGACCCTAAGCTCAAAGGAGAAATATACTCACCGGAAGGCCTGGATCGCCTGGATCACCCTTCTCACATTCACATATCTTGCGTTCACACTGAATCATTAATGAAATACAATATTAACACATAGTGAAACAGCATTTCAAATCTTATTCAATACATTATTAAGTGGAACAACCCCTTGAAGGAATTTTATTTTGCAAGTTTATGGAGATTTTGCTCTTCCTAATAAAGTCTTCTAGGAAAATTCAGACCTCATAAGAACATAATTGAATACACTCAAGTATTATTAAATATTGCCATGGTTGAATTGAGGAGGCCTCCTATCAAACATATATATCATTCAGTTGCCAGTCTAAAAAGGGGAAGGAGAAATATTTTTAGCGGACTCTTGGAATTTTTGCTGTTTCTCTATTATATAACACATCAGAGCTCAAAGATCAATACAAAGATCAAAGAGTCCTTTACTCAGCAAAGGAAAACATTTGACTTAAAACATATTTAATCAATTCTCTAAGATGCACATTTTTCCTATGATAGCATCTCTGAAATCAGAGAGAGCTCAGTCTGATGAAATTGCTATTTTCTGCATTAGTACTTCAAAACTTACAGAATGAAATGGGAGAAAACTCCAGAGACACTACTGCAGCATGCAAGAAATGCTGGGTCGCCGGTGCTTTTGACAGAACTGAGACCAGTATTTTATAGAAAAACAAGTACACCAATGACTCTGAGACAAAAAGTGATTCAGCAGATTTAGACTCTGACTGTGAAGAAATTTTAGAAATAATCAATTTATCTTGCTTATATATCTTCATATATGTAATACAGGATTTACGGTAAAAATCTATATCTAAATAAATCTAAAAGGACTCTTTGCATAAGTATAAAATTAAAAAGCCTAATTAAGAAGGCACTATATCATAATTTAATTACCAGAGTGTTTTCTTGTCTTAATGGCACATAAAAATGGTTTATCTGACCAAGTGTAATTCCGTGAAATATGCTCTACAAGGTTTGGTTGACTCCTATTATTTTATGCCATATTACGCGTCAATTTTCTGATGTTAAATAAGCAGTTTATCGAACAAAGTTCAGATGTTCCAAACTCTTTAATGTTAAGAAACACATGTTGAGTACAGGAGTCCTCAGAAAGCTGATGGTCATTTCTGTGCTAAGTACTATCCAACCAATATTGGCCAGCTTCCTTGGCCACTGTCAGGAAGAATGAGCTTAAAGTCCATCAGCAGGCAGTAGAGGGGTGACTCTGTGCCCTGTCTCTTAGCCAGGAACACTTCCTGACCTTGCTTGCCCATCACAGGCACATCTCCCAAAATGAAGGACTCCCCCATCCCCATACCCCGAGTAATTGGCATCAGAGACATGCTTAGAATAAAATAAGTCATATCAAACGAAGCAAAAACTACGCCATTTGATTATCATTAATTTCTAAAATCAGTCTCTAAAATCACATTAACATTTTTTTCCCAATTTTTCAACCTGCAGTGGATCTGGTGGCCTAAAAGAAAGTAGACAGTGGCCTGGCAATAGAGTGGCTCTTTTTAAATATAGTTAAGCATTTTTTAGTCACACCTATCTCCAAATGTGAATTATAATGCTGATTTGATAATGTGAGCTTTTGGAATAATTCAAAGAAAGTGGTTCTTACCTTCTTTTCAAACAAGATGTCCTAGGAGGGAAAAAGAATGAAACATTAACTCAATTCATGGTTCTGCTTCCAACTTCTCATTAGTCTTAATTATTCCCTATGGAATATGCAATTTCTACAAAGAATAGCGATTCAGCCTTGTGAAAGCAATAAGCTTACCAGCCAACCACCCAAGGAATACTCTGAGCCACTTAACAATAAGAGACATGAAGAGAACTAACATTAAAGCTATTTTGTTATCTAAGAATATCCTATTATATCCTATGCTTATCTTTGATCTCCTTTATCAGTTCTATGATCTGGCTAAAAGCTTAATTTGGCTACAACTTTAATCAGTCATAATGAGAAATTTCTTAGTTTTAGTTACAAAGACTTTGGCAGAATACATAACTGTGTATTTTGCCTTCTTTTATTTTTCCATCCCTATACATACATGCATTTGTTTGGAAGTATTAAAACAGTAGTTATAGGGTTATGACTTCATGAAATATTAATGAGTGAGCTTTAGAAGTCAATCATGTTGAACCTCTCATTTTGGAATAAGGAAACTTGATCTGCAGTGTTGTGACTTGTCCAAGGTCACACATTTGGGCTGAGCCACCTGACTAAGTTCAACGTTACTTCACACTTACCCACTCAGAAATTAACTAGCCAGAATATTTTTCAAAATTACTTTAAGTTCCTAATTTTAGAGAAATTAGGTTATTGTCTAACAAGTGTACTGAAGGCCATGTCAAAAATCAAACCCTGGGGGGAAATTAACCTATGTTTACAGATAGAATTGTTGCTTTCTTGAAGAAGGTATTATGTATCAATTTAATGCCTTATGACTGAACCAGAAGGGATAACATATATATGATAAAACTCATTAGTCAACATAGCCAAATATCAACAGTACAACTATTGAAATTTCTTTTGAGAGTCGAAAATCGACTTCTGCGCATGGGCCACGAAGTTTCAAATCGTACCATATATGCACCCCCGAATGTGTTATTTTGTGGAAGAGCCACACTCAAGGGGCCAAAGAGCTGCATGTGACTCACAAGCTGCTGAGGTAGGGTGTTAAATGTCATCCAGGATTTTCATTCCGTTCCAACCATTAATTACTCACGTGGCCTTGGGCAAGTCATATAAGCCTTCCAGGTCATTTCCAACATATATAAAATGAGAAAATTGGACCATTTTATGGTCTTAGGAGCTGTAAAATTCTATCCACAAATCCATACAAAATTCAGAGTTTCATCTGTGGACTTCTTTCTCCCCTTTCTCAATCCCTTCTCAACCCAATGATTTTAAAATACTAGCTAGTGTAAATCCAGGCTGAAAGCAGACAATGTCTTAAAGATGTACCTGTAAGACCCAGCAGGTCATATGGAGAAACAGGAACTTGGAAACAATTACAGTCTCAGTGGAAAGTGCCATTAACCCTCTACGGAACATTCTGCTGTGTTGAGAAAGCTAAAGATGTGCCTGCTTTATCTCTAGGCTGCTCAGGACAAGTCCTTGTTTCCATCCGCTGTCCTGACAACTTTTCTGGACATACTTTAGAGAAATTCTTGTACATTTCAACATTCGTTGTTTTTAATAGTGAAAAATTGGAAATAATTAAAATATCCAGCAATAGTAGAATGGATCAACAAATGAAATACTATTCAGCAGCTAAAGTGAATGTCCTGGATCTCCATATTTCAACATATACATTTTTTCAAAAACATTGAGTGAAAAAGCAATGTGATCCAAATTATGAAAACATTTAAAACATGTCATAAGCTTGATTTCCTCTGGGAGAGAGTGAGGGAAAAGAAATTGAAAGAGACAATAAAAACAACTTATAATACAAGTCAAATTCTAATATTTGAGAACTAGTGAAATAAATAAAAATTTGAAGCTTTGTCACTTTTTAATAAGCAATGTCCTTATCAATTTTAAACTCAGGAATTTAGCTGCTAGGGTGCCTAATGTGTAATTTTACACTTTTCTAGCTCTTCCTTTGAAAATTTGATTTCTGCTTTGCCATATTACTATCTAAAAATGTGTGCCATGAGGATGAAAACCATAACAACACAACTAATTATTTTGGGAACTCATTTGATTTTGTGTTTGTTGGGATTTATATTTCTATGGAAACAAAAGTGGATCCCAAACTACACAATAGATGAGACTGTTTCAAACAATGAACAAAGCTCCATTCCCTACAGGCACTTATAGTCTTGAACCCCAGTGACAGGAGAACAGATAGCTCAGGGCAAGCAGCGTGGGAAGGAGATCCTGGATTGGGGGGTTGGGGGGGGGGGTAACAAGACAGATTCTTGGAATAGGTGGATTTTCTGGATAATTTTGAAGGGAGGAATGCAAAGGACCAGCTCTTTGATGGAATGCGGTTCTATATGTCAAAGTTTATGAGAAAAGAAGTCATAAAGACTAGTGTGGGCAATTAGACAAAAGAAGCAGTGAGGAAGGGCATTTATAAAGAGTGGACAGAGAAGCCCACATGGCAGAGCTGGAGGCCTTGGGATGTAGTGGGAGCTTTCATGGAGGCAGAATGGTGGGCTGCGTGGAGAACATGGTTAAAGCCAGAGGGAAGGTCAACTAAGGTCTAGGTAGATACTGTAGTTTAAATGAAAAGGGTAAATAGATAAGGCCCTTACTAAAGCAAAAGTATTAATGACTCAGAGTTTTGTGATGGCATGTGTGTGTCAGGAGAAGGCTAGACTGGAATTGCCAGTTTTGTGAATGACTATGGCATCGTTGCTATGAGCAGGGGACAGAGGAAATGTGAGGAAGCTGCGGAAGTTATAGCACAACAGCAAATGGGATGAAAATAAAGAACTTATTGCAAGGACTGCAAACTCTATGACAAGAACTATTTGCGGCTTTAGCAGAATACAAAACCTTAAACAGAGAGCAGAAATAAGGCTCTGAGGAGAGGAAGCCTTCAAAAACTGAAAAGTGGACTATGATTAATAAATTAAGAAAGCATAGAATTCTAAAGATGACAGAACAATTACCAAGTTGATCTCTTTTTGGTGTGTAAAGAAGGGGATACACTAAACTGGGGGTTTTCTTAATCTTCAGAGAAAGAGGCCAATGTGTCACAAGCTTTAGTCCCATGAAGGCTTTTTGAAAAATTAACATCAACGATGATAAAGTAAATATTTATTTTTAAATCTCCACATCTTTCTTTCTCTTCTAAAGAGCCAAGTAATATATTCAGGAGATTGGGTCAAGTTCTTTAGGTTTCAACACTATTAGTGAATCATAATAAAATAGCGATAAAAAATAATTTTCAACTTAAAAATAATTGGCCTCTCTTGGGTGATTCAGAACTGAAAAGTTTTCATGGGGTTCTTACATGACACTTTCTACTAGAGGTGCCAAGAACGTGCAATGATTTCCTGAATATTCTTGGCTCCTGCAAAATCTACTCATCATGGACACTCATGTCCATCCACAAAGTCTATTCTGCAATAAAAAGGGATAAAGTGCTGATAACAAAAACACAACCCAGATGAATTTTTTAAGTCATGATGCTGGGAAGAAGCCTGCCACCAAAAGGGTATACAACTTGAATGAGTTTATTTATGTAAAATTTTAGAACGTGTACACTAATCTAGAATGAGAAGTCAATATCAGTAGTAGCTCAGGGACAAGGGGAAATGTATTGCAAAGATGCATGAGAAAATTTTGAGGGTGCTAGAAATATTCTATATCCTACTTTGTGTTGGTTGTTTCCCGGGTGTATACATCTACCAAAACTCATGGTATTGTGTACTTCAAATAAATGCAGATTTGTGCAGAAATTATGTCTAATTTATTTTTTAAAGTCAACTACATAATTATTTCAAAATAAAAAAGTTTTAAAATTCAACTAATGATGTAATAGAAATAGATCAGATGAGGAATTTTGCCAGTAGTTTGATGAAAAGACAAGTGCCGCTTCCTAGAAGTGGCAATCTGAAACATTGAAACTTGGTATATCTTTCTTTGAAGAGCCTGGTAAGCCCTTCAAATTCTGGAAGTGTTTGTAAAAAGGCATCTCCTGCTAAGAAGTAGCTTGTTCACAGAACTTCCATCTGAACAAACAAGCTAACATCCCAGGATGCTAAGGAAGAGCGGAGTCAGTAGGATGCTTGGTCCTGTTTTAGTTTCCCCAGAAACGAGCAAACAGTATTGCGTGGAGTCCGCTGCCAAGAGCCTGTGCTCCTGGTTGGGCAGGAGCTCTTAGTTAGGGTGTGCCTGGAGGGATATGAGCCTCCGGAGCCTTCACATCTGGTCAAACAAGGAGCTGCTTGTCCTGCATCTTCTACAGTCAGCCACAGGCACGTTATTATCACAACCTCAGTGTTCTCTCCTGCACATGCCGGAGCCTTCTGTTTTAAGCTCCCTGGTGAGGACTCTTTAAATTACAGCACAGGAAGGACTAGGCAGTTAGCCAGGCACCCTGCACAGTTCTCTTTCACACAAAAGAGCAGCTCAGAGTAAGCATCTACCCCAAGCTATTATTTCTCCTCTTACAAGACTTTACAGGGTTAAGCATGAAGACTCTGGGGTCTTCCGCCTGGCCTTAAATTTTCAATGATCAAATGATGATAATAATAGTTTCTACATTACAAGATTGTTGTAATCATTGAATAAAATAAAATATATAAAGTGCTCAGATCAATGCCTAATACACAAGGCACTCAAGATATGATAATTATCATTTAGATAAGAAAACTCAGTATCTCATGCTAAAAACAGCTGAGTGAAAAATGAAGAGCAATGTTATGGGAAAAGAGTGGAGGAAGGGACAAAGGGGAAAAACAATCTCTGAAATGGAGCTTCAGGTTTTTTCCAACCTACACACAAAACAGCCATATGAAATGCTCAGTCCCTCAAGGATATATTTATTTGTCTTGCAACAAATCTAAGACAATCTTTTTAAGAAAATCAATTTTTTAACACAGCAAGTCAACCACTTTTTCTCCAGGAGATCTTTCTCTGAAAAATACAGTGAAGGACCATTTTGTTTTGATTGCTTTGCCTTGCGTTTCACCAAGCAGCGAGGAAAGGTTCGTACACACAACTAAGCAACAGAAGAAAGCATCAACTCAGCCAATCAGATCCATAAAGAGGGACTCATAGAAACTGTAGGCTGACTGCAGGTTGTAGGTGATTTTACACTGGGTGACATTGTTACCACCTAAGAAACAAGGAGTTGTTTTTTGTTTGTTTGTTTCCATTGGGAGCCTATGAACTTTGAGCATACTATGGCAATAGTTGAGACAAAGTACAAAGTATTTCTGCACATATGGAAAGGGAAAAGATCAACTGAATACAAATATAGCAGACCATACCATAAGTTGACCTCAAATTGAATGTAAGTCAGCAGTGTTCAACAAGCCCAGGATGTATAAACAGGAGCCTGAGGTGTATGATTGGAAACTAATCCTTCTGAAATCCCTAGCATTGACTAGCATTAAAGTGAGGAATGCAGCTGCAGAGAATGAGCCTGGTACTTACTTCCCCAGTATATCTGGTATGAAGTGAACTATCGAAGAAGTAGAGAGAGACTTTGGAAAGATTCTTCTTTGCATTTCCAAGGTGATTTTTTTTCCTTTCATTTTTTTTTTTACCCAGTATTTATTCTTACAGAATTTACAATTAAAATATCATTATTATAATGAGAGGTTTGTGTATAAAACCAGCCCATTAGATACCTACCAGGCGATCCCGAATTTTATCTACAAGGTCTGGATCACTCAACAGGAGAATGGGTTCACTAGATGAATCCCCAGATATCAAACGAAGTTTGGCTTCATCGACTACAGTAGAAAGTCCAATGGTGATAAATAGTATTCCTGCAGTTCTGGCTTCTTCAGAAATACTTTGAACATCTGGACTCTTTGGGTGGTCAATGCCATCAGTCATCAGCAAAGCTACTTTTACACCAGCTTTACGTCCTTCTCTCTTGAGTAGCCTAGTGGCATTGGAGATGGCATAATAAGAGAAAGTACCTTGCCCAATGAAATTCATAGACTTGACCCTCTGCTTAAAAGTCTGTAGATCCTTCCAAGAAGAAAAAGATGGGTCGATCTGGACAGAGCTGCTAAACTGAAGAGCTGCCAATTTGATGTCATATTTCAAGGAGCGACCCGGGGTCAATTGGAAAACCTTGTCACTCAAGCTAGCTACAAAATCTTTCTGTTTGTCAAAGAGAGCAATTTTAGAACTTTCAGAGCTGTCCACGATGAAGACAACGTCTATGAAGCAAGTGGAGTCTGAAATAGAATAAATAGGTTAGGCAAATTGCTTGTACCTACTACTCATGAAGCAATTTTACATAAGAAAAGCCCTGAGCTGATATGTTGGGTACTGTTTAATTTTGAGTGGAGAGAGAAGTGTACCCTGTTTCCCCGAAAATAAGACAGTGTTTTGCTCCCAAAGATGCGCTAAGTCTTATTTTCAGGGGATGTCTTATTTTTCCATGAAGAAGAATACGGTATGCATTTATTGTTAAATGAAAATAAAGGAAATTTATTACCTGTTTACGGTACGGTAGTAAGGTAGCTGTCAACACAAACCAGACAAACTGTGAATCCTACAGTATCAAGAATTTACTCATTTATTCAATGGCAATCATGTCATCATCTTCTGGAACATCATCATAACAATCCAATTCCTGAATTTCCTGGTGAATTTCTTGTGACTCCATTTCTTTATGAATCAGTGGACCAAATCTCTCATGTTTAGCCTGGGGGGAGGAGGGGCTATTTTCGGGAGGATGCCTTATATTTCACTCAAAAGGAAACTTGTAAGTAGATCTTATTTTTGGAGGATGTCTTATTTTCGGGGAAACATGGTAAAAGATAGGGCTTCAGGTGTAAAGAACTAAATCTCTTTGCAAGTCTATATATTGTAAAATCATGCAAATCAAACACAATCATTTTTAAAATACCATATATTCTAAGCATCTTCCCCAAAGTGAAACCTGCTTAAAATGGAAGGGGAAAAGTGCATCATAGTTTACAAATTCAACAAACATTGGGCACAGTTGTCTATAAGTAAATAATACCCTACTTTTTTTCTCAGGTGTGTTTCATGCTAGTAAGGCCCCTTCTTGTTTTTGAGTTTTGGAGTGTTTTTTTGTTTTTTGGTTTTTTTTTTTAACTTTTTGAACTTAAGAGAGAAAGTAACTGTACACCTCACACTGTAGCTGCAGAAAGGGAGAAAGAAACTTAAAAGCAGGGAATTTAAGATAGAATCTTATTCGCTCTTACTAGTTAATTTGCTTATGGCCTTGGTGTGCCACTTATCTCTCTGGGCCTTTGTTCTTTATCCATAAGATGAAAGTGGCATTCTCTTTCATACCTGTTTTATAAGATTACTGTGAAGCTTAAACAAGACAATAAATGTACAAGTGCTTTAAAAACTCTGATGTTTATAAGTATGTCCTGTAAGGTAGATCGCTATCATAATATAATCATATCAAAGTGGAAAGTAATATATATGTATAATATATATATATATATAGTTTTTTATTTGCATCAAATGCTACTGATAAAAATGCACGTTAGTGTTCGAACAGGCTAAAACTAATTAAAAACAAAAATAAAGCCGAAACTGGTTTGGCTCAGCGGTAGAATGTTGGTCTGCGGACTGAAAGGTCCCAGGTTCAATTCCAGTCAAGGGCATGTACGTTGGTTGCGGGCACATCCCCGGTAGTGGGTGTGCAAGAAGCAGCTGGTCGATGTTTCTCTCTCATCGACGTTTCTAGCTCTCTATCTCTCTCCCTTCCTCTCTGTAAAAAATAAAAAATAAATAAATAAATAAAAATCAATAAAATATATTTAAAAAAAATAATAATAATAAAAAAATAAAACTTTTTTTTTTACCCTGGAGATCATTTGTCCTTGCAAGTGAATTGGGCTTTGATCCTTTCTTTCTTTGTCCATATACCGTTTGACTCATAAAAGCTGGCAAAATCAGGAGATAAAAGACAAAATGTCCATTCCACATTTTGGTAGATGGTGGAAAATCATCTGCCGGTAGCACCTTTAATAGAAAAATCAGTTATAAATACTATAATAAAATATAATGCTTACTATTTTTAATTCCATTCCACAGAATTGAAAACAGGCATGTGAATGGAGAAAAGAGTTTTCATTCATATTTATAGAAGAATATGCACATTGAGATTTTAAAAGTTTCTAATCCAAATAAATTATGGCACTATAACCAAATATTTATTAGTGGATATTTCTATCAATCAAAGTTGGGAGAGCCATTTAAAACATTTCTGTCCCATTCTGATGACTGTGGTTCAATCACAGGGTCTGCTTTGACATTTCCACATTCAGACTGTCACATGGTTATTTCATTATAACTAATTCCTGATCAGCCCAATATTTTTCCAGACTGTAGAGAACCACCACATTTTAGTCTTACTATGTGTACTCACAACTTCAGTGAGTTCAAAGGTCAAGTCAAAAATTAAGTTGCCCTTCTGTTTCCATAAAACCCCTTTTCTCTTTTCTACTCTTGTTTTGTAAACTCTATCTCCAACTGTATTCCAAGCTGTACCACAACTGCATATCCAATAAATCAAAAAAATATGAGAGCAAAAATAGATTTGTGCAGCTGTTCTTCCAGCTAATGGACTGAAATGGGACTTGAAATCAGGAAGCACCCTTTTGAATAGCCATGTAAAACTATTTTTCTGGGTAGCTTAACAATAAAAAGTCTAATCCTGTATTAAAATCTTCAGTCATTTCCATCACTCAGTATGCCCAGCTATACGTGAAATAACTTTAAATTCACATGCTTGCCTGGTAAGAAAAGATTCACTTGTGGCTAGCTCAATATACCCAAGAATGGATAAGAAAGCTTATGTTGAACCAAGGGTTCAGAATGTTTGCCTGTTTAAATTACATTGATTTCAGAAGTTCTGGGAAAGGAGTCACATTTTCCTTCTTTGAGGGAATGGGAACTGGGAAATCATGAGCATAATTTTTCCAGGCTCTGAGTAGGGGGTAGAAATATATGCAAAATCAGTGAAGAATGAGCTGAGTGACTGAAAAATCTTTCATGCCTACCAGATGAAGAAACACCAAGGAAAGCAAAACTGTTAGATTGGGGATGAACCAATGAATGGCTCCATGCCATGGTCTGTTTCTCAAATAGGATCATCCAGCAGGAAGTTTATTAAGCTGACTTTGTATGGCCAAAGCATCCTGCTAGCAAGTACATCAAATACAATTGACCAAATGTCAACTACTCTTTGGACCAGGGATGCTAAGATGTGAAAACAGGTGGATGTTAAAGGAAAGAACAAGAATTGTACTAAGGAAATAGAATATACAGAGCACATCCTATTACTAACCAATGAGAAGAATACAAAGGACGTTCAAATTTAATTCTGAAGATTAATGTAAGGGTATAGCTATATAGCAAAACTTAGCTGCTATTGCATTTTAGGGGGAAAGAAATAACACCATGTCCCTGGAATTACATATGACTTTTCTTATTGTTGAGCCTATACCAGAAGGAACTTCTCATAGACTGAGAATTTAATCTCACTGAGAACAAGAGAGAGAGATTTTAAAGCTACATGATCAATGATCAAGATGGCCTTTCAAAAACCTAAAGGTTATAACCATGTGGCATCAGGAGAAGAAAACCACTTTTTCCCCCTCTCATTTGCAGGCCTCATTTTGGGCTTTGAAAATGTGGCTTTAAAGTAAGACTTATCTTTCTCCAAACCTAAGTACCTGTACATAGTTTTTTTGGAATATGATCATGAATTCCTACCTGAATCTCTGATAGACAATGTCTACTAATGTAACTTAATCATTAGTAATAATCACAATGTCTCATATTTTATTACTATTTGCTCTAACACTTTTTATTTAGCTCTCCCAAACCAAAGTTCGGTATTTCATTCTGTTTCCTGATATTGGCCATAAGACACGCTTATATCTGTCCACTTTTCTTTCTTTAGTATTTTCTACTTTTCTGAAATCTTTATTAGTTTGGCATCTAAAGGCCCATTTATTTCTAATATTTACCATGTTTTATTTCGCTTCCATTTTTAGTAATTCCCATCTTTCTCTCATTTAAATATCACATTCAAGTAAAACAGGTTTCGGGAGGGTCATTATTAAATGAAAGAAATACAAACCTCAATGTTTGCTATTGGTTAAATTTTATAAATGCAGAAAAAAATTAAATTTAACCAAATGCCATATTTTTGCCTAAAATTTTGAGAGTAGCTATTAGGATCAATAACTCTAAGAGACTTTATATTTTATAATTTTCATAAGTGAAATCATCTCTCAGCAGAGTTAACCATTTTATTCACAGTGCATCTCATTTGTTTCTACCTAAAAATAAAAGGACGTATAAATACTTTGTTCAAATTGACATACTTGTTAAGTTTTAAAGTATTCTGCAGTTAATACTTGATTATAAAAACATGTTCAAAATTAAGAAAAATACCCCAAAGTATATTAATGTTATTATAATGCTATGCAGCAGAATGTACATTAAAAATTAATTTTTAAATAACTTTAAATACATTTTAAATTTCTGCATTTTTAAATTCTACAATTAGTCATATTTTTCTAATAATTAATTTAAAGTAATAGCAGAGCTTAAAATTTTTTGATAAGTTTTCTTCACACTGTATGTGAAAAATTTAATCTTCCACAGATCCACAATGTCTTCTCTGATTACAAGCGATTAAAACAAAACAGTTATGTCTTACCTTATAAATGGTTTGTCAAACAGGAATTAAAGACTGGTTAAGGAAAGGCCAGCAGCAAGGACCATCGTTGGGAATGGAATTGGCAAGTGAATATTTCTCTGTTCTGTGGGAAATAAAAATTGTCCTTGCTTTGGATCTTTTGCAATCTTTTATTCATTTTTATTAGACTAAGTTAAAGCAAGAGTGGTCAGGCATTTGGCCAAGGTGCAAGATTTGGGTGGGATCAGTAAGTAATTTAAAGGAACAGTGTCCTTTCGGAACAAATCTGTGTTTTCCAGACTGTTTTAAAAACAGCTTGAGCAAATTTTTTACATTTTAGGCATTTTCTGAGTCTGTCTTTGTTTCTTATGTTATATTCTTCACTTTCTATTTTTACATTTCTTTGCCTGGGGTGTGTGCTCTGTTAGATAGTGGGTCTAAACAGCTTTGTGAAGGAGTATAAATGACTCCAGATTCAGATGCAGTGTTTTCCAAGAGAGGCAATGGGTTGATCATGATTGAAACATCCGATGAACATTAGAAGCTCATTATCCCAGTCTTTCTATATTTCTTATTTTTGAAAGTTTTAATAATAAAAGGTTTGCAAAATAGATAGTGGAAGAGTGATCTAAATTTAGTGGTGGCTTCTCTCTACAACATTGGGACCTCAGTTTCCCACTTACAATAGGAAGTAGTGCATTTAATTATCTATCAAGATCCTTTCAAACTGCAACATAAGAGGGAGGTTTACAAGAGTCAATATTTTGAGGTTTCTATCCAGGAAAGGTGGTCCCTGTGGTGGTTCCATTCTCTCTTTTTCCTATTTTCTACCTTGTGATTACAGCCCATTTTAAGTTGATGTTTATCAACAATAAATATTTAACAATGTTTGTTGTACAAAACATGAGCCAAGAGGCCACTTGACCCCTACACAACTAACAGGGAGGCTTCTCTATGGATAGTCTCAGAGTTAGAGATTAGCAAGTTGACTAGGTAAAGCAATATAATTGTTCGTGCTATAATTCTTTTATTATTTTTTTAAAATATATTTTATTGATTTTGTACAGAGAGAAAGGGAGAGAGATATAGAGCTAGAAACATCGATGAGAGAGAGTCATCGATCAGCTGCCTCTTGCACACCCCCTACTGGGGATATGCCCGCAACCAAGGTACATGCCCTTGACCGGAATCGAACCCAGGTCCCTTCAGTCCCCAAGCCGACGCTCTATCCATTGAGCCAAACTGGTTTCGGCTGTTCGTGCTATAATTCTTTTAAAATAGGTTTCTTAGGAATACATATTAACATTTATTCATCTGCTTATCTACACTAATAAAAGGGAGAGATATAAATTGACTATTCCTTCACAAAGCCCACCAGCCAATCAGGAGTGAGTATGCAAATTAACTCAACAAAGATATCAGGCTAATTTGCATACCCAGGCGCCCAGCAGCAATGAGGAAGGCATTTCGCACCACTCCTGCTGCTCTGGGCCTCTTGGTAGCATGGGAAGATAGAAAGGTGGCTCCAGGCAGAGCAAAGGCTGTGCCAGCAGCCAGGGTAAGAAAGGCCCATTCTACAGGAATCTTCGTGCATCGGGCATCTAGTTGTAACAATGGTTTCCATTTCATGAACATTTATCAAGCATGTCCTATGCTGAGTGCTTGACACTCGTTATGGCATCTAGACCTCCAAAAGCACAACCACCGACCTATAGTAAGTACTCTAAGAATCCACATTTGCAGTTGAGGATGTTGAGGCAGACAGGAGTTCAGTCACTTGCCCACCTTTATGCTAATACTAGAGAATGCCAGAATGGGATCTTAACTAAGGACTACCGGACCCCTGAGCCTCACTTATAACAACTCTTGCATCATTAAATGAAGTGTTCAAGTGAATGCTTGGACTTCCATTGTCTCCTCACCACAAAGCAGTTCTTGAGGAAGGGAGGGAGTTTTGTGGGGCTTTGGTAATAGAAAGAAGGAACAGTAGGTGTATTGCAGAAGTAAAATAGGATTTCCCAGGAAGCAAACATACTAGTATATATTTATATATTTACACATATAGATTTATTTTTAATACTTTATTTTATATATTTTTAATTGATTTCAGAGAGGAAGGGAGAGGGAAAGAGATGTAGAAACATCAATGATGAGAGAGAATCATTGATTAGCTGCCTCCTGCACACCCCCTACTAGGAATCGAGCCTGCAATCAGGCATATACCCTTGACTTGACCAGAATCAAACCCAGGATCCGTCAGACCCAGGCTAATGCT